CCTCCTCCTCCTCCTCCTCCTCCTCCTCCTCCTCCTCCTCCTCCTCCTCGTCCTCCTCCTCCTCCTCCTCCTCCTCCTCCTCCTCCTCCTCCTTCTCCGCCCCGCAGGCGATTGCACAAGGAGTGCGCCGGCCCCACCTCCTGCTGGGCTGACACCAGAGCCGCGCCCTGGAGGATCGCTGGGCCGACCGACTCCCGACGCCAGAGACTTCTGTTGAGGGCACTGTGAAGAGCCCTGTCTTGGGGCACAACGCGGCCGATTCCAAAAGCCCTAGACCCAAGAATGTTGGCATCTCGGCGGGGGGGGGGGGGCATATCTTACTTCCGCCGGCCTTCCGCCGGCCTTCCGCCAGCGGAGCCGACCCCGTTTTACTTCCGCCGCCTTCCGCCGCCCTTCGCGTTTGCGCGCACTACTCCCTCTTGTGGCTGGAAGTTGCGTGGTAAGCCTCATGAAAAAAAACTCAACCCAAACGGTCGCTTCGGCGCGACCCAACGTCTTACCAAATCGGGACCCCAGGAGGCCGCCCATCCGCCACCTTCCGCCGAGGACGAGAGGGCAGCTCTCCTTCGGCTCTCGAGGGCGAGCCCTTTTTCCGGAGCGCGCCACGTGAAGGTCCGCCTGAAATCAGCGCCTGGCAAGATAGCTGCACGTCTGTGTCTGGCAAGCTTAGGTGAGAAAGCATCAAGATCGCCATACAGATTCGGAGATCCGCTCGGATTCCTCGGATCGGCGCCAGAGGCGCTGTCAGGGGGCCCCAGTGCCGATCCGAGGAACCCGCACGGACCTCCGAGTTTTTATGCTTATGTCATTGCTTGTCCCCCTAGAACTGGATCCAGCAAGCGGTCCGCCAGTGGCGGGACGCGTCGGGAGCGAACTACGCACACATGAGCAGGAGGGCCGCAGCAGGCACGGCCGGAACCGTCCTCAGAGCATGAAGCACTTCGGGGGGGGCTGCAGTCAGGCACAGATACTCGCCGCTCAAGATAGTCGCATACACAGTTTGGCGCAGGCGGGATGTGCGGAATTGCAGCAGCGCTTCCCCTTCCTCCGCAGCCACGTGCCGCAGGGGCCCCACAGAGGGCCGAACTAGCAGCACGCTGCGAAGTGTACACCAGCGTTGAGTCTAAGGAAGAAGTCAGGGTGGATTGCCGCCGTCATGCGGTGAGGAGACAGACCTAGACCCAGATGTGCGGGCTCGAGGCTCGACATTTTCTGGCGTTTCCGTATTCCTGGAGGCTTTCCATCCTCGGAATGCCTTCCAGCAGCTGCGCCTCAATGAAAGCAGTTTGGGTGTGCCCGAATCGTCCCGAACGGCCGCTGGAGACCGAGCCGAAATATGACCCGAGGGCAACACCTCCTCGCGACCCCAAGAAAATGACGGAACGTGCTTGACTATTTTCGGCCTCTGAGGGCCTTGACCTAGGCCTGGGCCGCTAACACAAATTAAACAACGCATGATGAAAACCGATCTTGCGGAACAGGGCACGACCTCCGAAGGTCCACATCGCGAAAAAAAACAGAAAAAGTAAAACACACAACAAAAACAAAGAAAAGCGCCAGGGGTCCACGGCGGATGGGGATAAAGGGGAGCAGCGAGGAGGCAGGATGAAGACACCGCCTGGCTAACCACCGATACCGGCTGGCCCAGCGAGGCGAGGTCGACGTTGTCGTAGGTGGAGTATTTCGCCAGCACCCTTGTCCACACGTCCAGGTCCTGGCAGCACGGCCGGTCAGAAGGGCCCATCGACGAACTCCTCCATGGATTCCTCCTCTTCCACTTCCTGACCGAACGAAGTCGGGCAGGCAACGCTGGTTTGTTCAGGGCCTTCCATCGATGGAAACTGGACACGCGCGCACGCTTCGCGCACGCGCAGGTCCTAGTCTCCACCGAAGAGCATTACAAACAATCGCAAGGCAGATTTGGCCTCTTGGGCGTCTGAAGCTCCTCCGGTGAGCTTGTTTGTTCCATGTGCAATGGACGCATTAGAAATTCCAAAAAGCTCCAGACCCCACGGTGCTGATTTCGCATGCAGGGCCAGCCAGAAGGGACCTTCGATATGTCCAAAGCAGATGTCGGTGGATCTTGAATATTGAGTGGACTGGATTGGTACAAAGGCTTTCTTCCTCTCGTGTCTGGGGGTGTTCTTGGGGCCCGCTGGGGGGCGTCTTGGATTCACGAGGGACTAGCCTGGAGGCTTCGGAGGGCCTCATAATTCTTGCTGTGGACATCTTGCGACGGCGACGTCGGCGAGCATGACGACAGCGACGGCGACGAAGCCGGCGGCAACGGCGACGGAAGAAAACACGACGACGACAACAACAACGACGACGACGACGACGACGACGACGACGACGACGACGACGTTGCGGACGTTGCAGACCGTGGCACGGGGCGGACGAATCGTTCCACCCCGCGCCGAACGCCCGCGCGTGAGACGTGCGCGGCCGCCCACGCCCGCCAGGGAGCCTCAGCCTCCTCAGGAGCTGACCTCCAGGCCTCTGCGGCATCCCGCCTCGCGGCCCCCGCGAGGAGGCGGCGAGGCCCCCTAATTCGCTGAGCGCTGGGCCCGGCCGCCTACTCACGGGCTGTCCGCCCTCCCCCTCCTCCTCCTCGGCCCGGGGTCCTGCCCCAGGCGCAGCTTCGTGGCCTCCGTGGCCTCCCTCCGCTCTCCTGCCTCCCAGGGCCCCAGCGCCACGACGGCCTCCGCCTTGGCGCCCAGCCCTACCAGCTCCTCACCTCGTCGACCCCGTAGGCCTTGACCGCGTCGACCAGCGGGGGCGGAACCTCACCTCTTGGCCGTACCTCCGCGTTCCTCCTTGCTCCTCGCGCCGCTCCGTTCGTGGTGCCGCCTCGGCTTCCTCTCCACCTGCGAGCAGCAGCTCCTGCTCGGAGCCCTCGCCCAGCTCGTGCCCGGACTCGCACCTCTCTTTCTTCCTTGGGGCCCCAAGGACGAAAGAGAGGTTGTGGGGGCCATGGGCCCCCCGGCGGCGGCCGAACAGCAGCCCCTGCCTCCTCGCGAGCGCGGCGAAGTGGCCTCTCGCCCCGCTCGCGGTACGCCCGCGGCAGACCGCGCCCTTGTCGCCGCCGTCGGCCACGTAGTCCACGAGGTGGTGCCCGCGCCACTCGACTGGCCCTCCTCCTGGCCGCGCCTCGGCCTCCTCCTCCTCCTCCTCCTCCTCCTCCTCCTCCTCCTCCTCCTCCTCCGCTCCTCCTCCTCCTCCTCCTCCTCCTCCTCCTCCTCCTCCTCCTCCTCCTCCTCCTCTCCTCCTCCTCCTCCTCCTCCTCCTCCTCCTCCTCCTCCTCCTCCTCCTCCTCCTCCTCCTCCTCCTCCTCCTCCTCCTCCTCCTCCTCCTCCTCCTCCTCCTCCTCCTCCTCCTCCTCCTCCTCCTCCTCCTCCTCCTCTCTTTCCTCCCCTTCTGGTCCGTCAGCCTCTCTTTGGGACCTCACCTCTTCTCGGCGGTCCTCCTGTTCCTTCTCGGGGATGTCCAGCAGTTCCTGCGGCTCCCCCCCACCACCGAGGTCCACCATCCTTTTCCTACGGAATGCCGCCAGCGCCCTGTTGGCCATCCTGCATGATCACCGTGGCTGGGCTCACCGCCTGTCCACTTCCTTGGAGGGCCCAGCCTGGCAGGGACGCCGCGCCCGCGACAACTGCGCTGCAGAAAACAGGGTAGCAGTGGGCGGGTAAAGGAGCGACCAGCGCCGCACAGAAGCATGCCCGCCTTGCGGGAACGAGGACCCAAAGGACGGACGAGGGACGGCAGCGGCACCGGGAGCCCACAGAGTGGCGACGAGGAGCGGCAGTGGCGACCAGGAGCACCGGCAGCCCACAGAGCCCCCAGCGCCGCGCAGAAGCCTGCCCGCCCCGAGGGCCAGAGAGCGCGGACACACGCGACGAGCGCTCGCCTCCGGAGAGCCGCTCCTTCGAAGAAAACTCACCACGCGAACGCAGCCGCAGCACCTGCCCCCGCCTGCTAGCGCGACTATCCTCGCGCAGTCGCGCCGCCAGCACCAGCCCCAAATTAGCCACCGAAGGAGGGAGACAAGGAAACGACGTGTCATCCCCGCGCCATCCTCGGCCAGCCGCGCGCGGCCATCGGCTGCAAGCACAAAGCAGACCCGCGACCCGCCGCGCCACGGGGGGCATTGCCAGGCAGTCAGCACATTGCCACTAAGGCCTCAAAGGCCGAGAGACGCAGAGACCACACGAGGCCCTCCTAGAGCCTAGAAGCTTTCCTGCCCCCCAAACCGCTGCGCGATTTAGGGCGATGATAATCTCTGCGTGCGGCGTCGCACTGAACGCGCGGGTCGGCGCCGCCGCGCCCGCGTTGGATCGAGAGACAACCCGCGCTGACAGGTAGGGCCCGACTGGACCACTCCGAATGCCCACTGCATCCAGGAGGGCACAGGCTGGCGGCCCCGAACCGACAGGAGGACTGAGGGGGCAGGCACGCCGCGGAATCGCTGTTTTACAAGCGCGCCCACTGCATGCGAGCGCGCTGAGCCGCCCTCGCCCCCACTCGACTCAGACTGCTCTACCAGCCACTTCTCCGCGGTCAATCCCCCACGGGACCGCGCCGCCGCGCGCCCGCAGGCATCGAGCCCCCTCTATCCACCAGACCAAAACAGAGCAGACACTCCGCCAGCCCGGAGAGCGCCATCAGCGAACCTGCGGCGAAATGCACGAGTACCCCAGTGCTCCGATTCTGGGAAGCCAAGCGCCACGGCGCCAGGATTGAGGCACGCCTCGGGATAAGCCGCGTGGCCAAATCTCATGGACCGAGCGCCAGAAGTCTCTTTCAAGCCGCACGCCCCGCAGAGGAGCGGCCATTCATCAGAGAACGCGCACTTCCTCGCGACCTCAACTGGGGCGCGGAAACACTTCCTCTGAGTGAAAAATAATGATGCACTGACAAACTTTACCATTCCCTGTGAATCGGAAAGGTGATGTGCTTAGGCCCAGCACCGACGCTTCGGAAGAGTACCGCAACCAATTTCGCGACGTCCTGCTTGCGAAACCCACTGTATCAAACCGCGGGCCTGCGAAACAGATGCCCCAATCCTGGGCCGCCGGTTGGCCACCCCAGACGTCTCCGGTCCCCGCGCGAGCCCCGACGCGTCAGCGAGCTCGCCGCATATGGAGGACCGAACGAAGATGCGACGAGTGGCGCCCGAGTGAAGCACTGCTGCGAAACAGCACGCATAACACGCAGACCGTAGAGTACTTGGGTGACGAAGGCGCGCCCCCGCTAACAGCAGCAGCCTCGCCCCTGAGCTGCGCCGCGCTGGCGCGCTGCGCAGCGCTCTGGCGCCAACCGCAGAATTCGAGCCAGACGGCGCGAATCTCGAACCCCGCGAGATCCGGCGCTGCGGCGCGCGCCCGCTTTGCAGCGGCGCGGGGCGGCACTCTGGCGTCCTCGGATGGCGATTCCGGCAATTTTGCCATATCCCTGATAGCGCTGGCGAGCGCCCAGGGCTCGCTCCGCGCGTCGGAAAAAAAGTCGCCAGATCGGCCGCGCCCCTCCGCGCGGCCCCCTCGTCTGGACCGCGTCCTGGAACATTGTCGGGCGACAGTGGACCGCCTGGCCCGCCTGGAAGCCACTCGAAAGCGCCGAAGACGACGAACGCTGACTCTGCCGCCGGCCTGCCACGACCAGCATCAGAAGTATGTCGCGCAATTGGGGCGCGCGCCCAGCGAGAGGGGCTCGAATTTACTGCATTCGATCGCAGGCCCTGGGGGTGCCACGGCGGCCACCTGCCGCAATGCTCGGCAAAGTCTCAGGGGGCGGCGCCTGCGCCGCCAGCTGCGGCATCGCCTCAGCCATCGGCGCGGCCAACGAAAACGCCCCAGAACCAACAGTGGCGGCCGCGCGCGCCCGGCTTTCATCCAAGAACTTAAGCGTGGACCCTGAACAGCCAGTCCACTGTCCTGCCACGGCGAAAACAGAAGCGAACCGGGCACCTGTCTGAGCCGAACCGGATACGGAGAAGGAACTGCGCATGACCAGCGCGGCGCCTGCAACCAACCCCTGCCCGGCCCGAAGTCCGGAACCCGAATGCGCACTTTGGGTCCACAAACGCATGGAACCGCAGATCCGATTGCCCGGCTGCCCCGGCTGAGCAAGCATGCCAACGACGCGAGGGCCATGATGATAGGGCGCATGTTTCTCTGAACTACTCTACGTTGCAACACATGCCACGGAGTGTCTGGCGGCGTGACCCACAGAGCTTTTGCAAAACGTCCCAGCGCCGCTACCTTTTCGCGCAGAGGTCGTCGCAGGCGCATCGGCCAGATTCAAACGACTGGGCGCGTAGAAACCGCGCAGCAGGACCGCTGCGCGAGCGGCGCGCAGCCAGAAGTCCCAAATCAGGTCATTCCAATCGGATTGCGCGGAGGAGCTGCGCAAAAAAGTGCCGAGGGCCGTCTGATTATAAACAAACATGATCCAGACGATCTCCGGCCTCTTGGCTGAGCAGCCAGGTAAGGGCGGAAACGGCCGCAATTAAGTCGGCTGCTACTTGCGCTGCCCGGCACCGCGCCCAGTGCCACACGGCACGGGGCACCGCGGAAGCAGACCAGACGCCGCTCTGGCAAGCGGATGGCCCATGCCAAACTGCCTCCGCCCGTGGCCTTTGAATAAACAACGCACTGACGCCGATTGGCCGGCTCTGCACACAACGCCGCGCGCCGCGGCAAAGAGCGGAGAAAATGC